TGATATATTCGTACCTATGTAGATTAATCGTATAGATTGTGATATTGGCTTTAACAACGTCGCGTTCAGACGAAACTTCCTACTGTCTTCCAATAAGAGTATAAATAAATCTACAATTCGAATCAATGCTGTTCGTTACTCGTACACCCTTCCTCTAGTTGTTAAGCTCTCAACCTGATTCAAACCTTCAACTCCCTCCGATTAATTGAAACACCGATTTAACGAAGTTACTTGGAAAAAAATTCTCGTTGCCTCTCGTAGGCTGAAAATCGAGAAAATCTCGAGAAAAAAATGCCGCCAAGATCGGTCGGACGAAACTCGTTTTTCGACGATCCACCTGCGATCTTTGGAAATGGTCAGCCCTTCTCGCTTGTATACATAACAGCATTTCCAAACAAAGGTCCGAAGGCTGAAAAGGGTCCATTCATACCTGAAACTGGTTTAAGAAAGCCTCCGGGGGTCCTTTCAGCCCTTTGCTGCTCGAGAAATCTTTTTAAAGAATTTCGGGGATTCACCGAAAGGGAGGAAAAACCGCGGAGATTCACGGAGATTTCGGACAAAAGTTTCTACGCGTCCAAATCGATGAAAACTTGGAAAGTGGAAGGGATTCTTTTTTCCCTGATTCGAAAGACTTGTCACCGGAGAACACGTACTTAATTACGGGGGCAAAAAATTCGAGCTATTCGACTTTTTTTTTCGAGATAATTGACAAATCCGTTCTCATTTTTAAACAGTTAATCAATGCACACACCTGTGATTGGTCGTACAAAGTGCAACAGGTTTTTTACGTAATGAAAAAGCCGATCGGTTTTACATCTTCGCGACTCTCGTCGCGTCAAGTGGCAAATTTCTTCGGATATTAATAAAATTTCCGTCACGAATGTTTCATTCATGTTTTCTTTCCACTTTGCTGATATTATCGATCGTGTATTTAACGAAACCAATATGTTCGTTCCTTTTGGAATTGAATTTTCTTCTCTTGGATTGTGGAAAATCTAATAAAACAATTAATTATCAATAGAAACATATTTTTATAAAAAAGACTTTTCCAGAAATGAATATTTTTATTCTTTGATTATTTAATAGATTATACATTATACTAAAATCAATCAATTGGCACTTGATTGATTTTTATAACATTCACTGTTCAAACTTCTCCATGTTATAAAAAATTACAAAGTAAACTGAGGTAAAAAATGGCACTGTTACAAAGGACATCGCAGTTTGATTTTTAAAAAAACGATGGATCGAATCCACAGAAATAAATATACATGTAAATAAGTATGGACTCTTCTTCGGGTTATTAAACAAAAGTTCGTTCATTGAAAATATGAACACGTGTTGCCCATATGTGACATGTGCACATGCCCACCGAGGTGTGTATAAGGTGCATGAATTCGCATGATTTTCCGTGACGAGCCGGCAATAACCGACCCCCAAAAACTAACAAAAGATCGCTTGATGCTCGTGTATCAGACGGTAATACAATAATAGCAGGGGTGCATAAATTCGCCGATAGGGTTAACCCAATTTCGTGTTTATTTAACGGCGAGCAGACCGCGAGTGACCGAATGAATGTTGGGCTCAATGGCGCTTTTCATAGAGGGTGAAAGCGCAAATGTTGCGTTGAAGAGTAGAATAGCAGGAACTATCGATGGATCTTTATCAACATAATGTTATATGTAACAATCGAACGATATTTAATAGTCGAATTAATTAATATTCAGTTGCAGCATAACTTCAAATTCAGAAATGAATTTATTAGCTTCGGAATTTAAATGAAACGACGAAAATTCTAGAAATCCTGATTTTCAACTACGACTATGAAATCTTAAGGATGTGTATTAACGAAACAAATGTATTCGTAAATAAAATAAATACTCGAGGAATTATTGTGATAGTAAATTTTTACCTGAGCAGAACCGAGGAAAATATCTAAAAGAATATATTTGTATATTTTATCATGTTTTGTTAAAAAAAAACATTCCGCGTTTCATAGTATTCAGTGTTTCTTTAGTTTCGTCGTATTTTTACAAACAAAAACAATTGTAAAATATTATTGAAAATAATTACTTTGCAATACTTACGTTACAATCTTGGATATTAAATAAAAGAAAATTACGGGAAGAATACAAAATTGGAAAATTGGAAAGAAATGGTCAGGCAGATCCCTAGATGGAACCCTGAAGAGTAGGCAACCCTTCGTGTTACCCTGCGTTAGGACCAGTCATAAGGACTAACAAACCCGCCAAAACGACCGATTTTCAAACTTTACGTTTTCGCAATTATCACTGAAAACATCAAGATATTCCTGACAAAATTAATGCAGATTTTTATTAAAATTGAATCAAGGTTCTGCATAATTATACTAATCCTAAAAGACTTTTGAATAATATTGATTCAATTTGCTTTCTGAGTTTTTGGAGAACATGGAATTGGAACTGGTAAAAGTCAAAGATCAAAGACGAACGCATCTAATTGTGTCATTCGCGAATTGAACATAATCAGTTAATATTGTAAAATGTCATTAATATTCTGAAAGTAATCTTACCTGTAATATACATATGTGATTTATTTCGTTTCTCATCCGTCATTTTAAACAAGCGTTTCTTAACAATTTTTACAAACGAATTAATAATCTTCAACAAGCGCAAGTAAAGCCATAAATATAAATTAAATTAATACTATTCTGTCGAACAATTTTAAAGTATACGTTTAAGTGAATTGCAACATTGATGTTCAACTTCCAACAATTAAAATATAATGTAAAACCTGTACGAGAGAGGTGCGACAAAATTTTTATTTAATCCCTCTGATAATTCTAACATTCTCAACGAGCAATAAATATACATTTAAATCCTCAAAAATGTAAAAATACGTCCATTTCACAGAAATTACAAACTGACCATTCTCACCCCTATGACAAATCTACCGAGTTGAGAATTAATATATTTCTTACCATTATCTAACCAGATTTCTCGACGCACCGCCTTTATTTAGCAACTTTTTTTTTTTTTTAACTTGTCGATCTCAGACAGCCACACACGTCCGAGAATTTTTGTGCCAATCTCCTACCAACATTTCTCCATATTCATAAAATTTTTTTCAACAAGCGCCGGCCAATAATGAAAGTACCTGTACGCGCCTAAAGCGGACAAACGGGACGCGAAATGTATCAATTATACAGGTTCCTTTTCATCGATCGGCTTTAATCGACTGCGTTCTCGTCGGCGAAATTAATTCATTACACTCGCCATCGACGATACCTCAGCTACCTCGAGGCGCTCCTCTTTTCTGGTTCTTTTCCCTGTTTCTTTTTCCTCTTTTTTTTTTTTTTTTTTTT